AAGCCCAATTGGGCTTTTGAGTGCATGTGCTAAAATAAGCCCTCCCCTGAAAATAAGACCTCCCCAAAAATATTGCAACATAGCAGCAGCCATGAGGTGACCATGCTCGCTGACTCTTGCACCTGAAAAATAACAAGACCTCCCCGAAAATAAGGCCAATAACTTATTTCAGGGGAGGGTAAAAAGAAAATAAGAACCTGTCTTATTTTGGTGGAAACACGGTAGTAGGACTGTATTGCTATTATCCTTCTCATCTTTCCTATTATCTTCTCCTATTGGTATATTATGATTATCACTTGGGTCTTTGTATGCACACTGAGAGCTTATGCATTGGAGACAAATTCCTTATGTGTCCTCTCACATATGGTCAATAAAAGAATAATCTATTAGTACTAGTACCATTGCTGCTGCTGCTGATTACTTAGTATTATTACTGATATTGCTATTGCTACAGTTATACAAGGACTCAGACCTATAGCTACCATTAAAATATTTAGACTAAAAAAGGAAATATCAGTCATATATGTAGGTTAGTAGGCTGAATGCTAGTCTCTGAATGCTCCTGCAAATCATTAGGTGTACATTTTTTTTCTATACCAAGAGCTGCACTTTGCCTCTGAATGGCATATTTCAGAAAAAAATTAAATGCGGCAAGTTCAAATAGTGGAAAATCTGTCCCTTTTATATGTCTTCCATGGTGTCACATACTAATACAAAGGGGTAGAGCTTAGGCTGTGATACTGCTTTTATCATTTTAATGAAAGCATTAGATTATGCAGATGTCTTGGTTTACAGTCAAATTTGTTTTCCCATCACTGTACTGGGGAGAAAAAGAGCTGCTTCCCTGCACAACTTGGAGACTGGTCAAGATTAGAAAGCTAATTCATATATCAAAATGAATACAAGGCACTATAATAGTCATAAAAGGAAATAAAATGCCATGAATGACATTTTGTTGCACTCGTTCGTACAAATATCCAAGCATTTTTTTTTTTTTGCTGTCACTGGCAGCGAAACTATTTTGAAGTAATTTGTATAAATTCAGTTTTTTCTTTGCAAAGTGCTGTTAGGTTTGGAGAAAAGGCTAAATGTTTAGTTTAATACAGATTATCTTTGCTGAATAATATAAACCGGATATTCAGATTTTAAAACTATCATTTATTTTTAGTCCAAATTAATCTATAACTGAAGTTTAGTCAAACTAACTAGCTCTATGATTAAATTATCCCATGATTTCTACAACAGAGAGATGGGATTAAGAACAAATCAAAATGTGCCAGAATGGACTGCAGACTAATTCACTCACTAAGCCTCAGTAAAAACTTTTTCTCTGCTACTTGTGGGTGAACCTTCAAGGTCAAAAGTAACACAATTAGAAAGTTAACAATTGAAGATAAGCTGTTTCATGTATTTATTTATTAAATGAATAAACTTTCCTGTAAATAGCTCCCTAGGATTAAAAATTGCAGATTAAAATGCACAGCCCTCATCAGCAGTAAAAAACTAAAACAGGGGAAATACCACACTGATTGCATAGAACAAGGTTCTTTGCTTTGGCCATGGTTTGTGACCCTTAGGAGATTAAAAGCAGTTTGGGGAGAGATAAGAAATTTGGGGTGGGGTGCTTGTGAGCAAAATCACTGTTAGAACTTGTCTCTCCTGTTCCTGGAAAAGGCAACATCCAGCTTGTCTCAGCAAAGCTTGTAATGAGTTTCGATGAATGTCCAATGCTAATGATTGGGAAGATTGCTTGAGAGTTACCTACTTCTACTGTGGCCTTTCAGATACCTGTAATCTTTGGAGTACTTTTGGAAACAAAGTTCAGCATTTCTGCCCATTGTTCAGATTTTATCTAATATAGCAATAGCAACAGCACTTAGACTTAAATGCCAGTTCACAGCCCTTTCTAAGCGGTTTAGATAATCAGCATATTGCCCCCAACGATCTGGGTCTTCATTTTACCGACCTTGGAAGGATGGAAACTAATTCAACCTTGTGTGGGTGAGAATCGAACTCCTAGCAGTGAGTAGAGTTAACCTGCAATACTGCATTCTAACCACCAGGGCTCTTAATCCTTATTTTAACCCTTTTAATTAAAAACACCGTTTTAAATTTATTTTCTTATTTATCATGAAAATATTTAAAAAGTTGCAAACTTTATCATTGTTTTGACATATAGATTAAATTATTTCTATTCTTATCATAAAGAATCTTACTATATTAAATACAGCTAGCCAATTCCCAAAATTTATGTTGCTAAGAAAGGCAGTTAAATGAGTTTTGCTCTATTTTATGACTTTTTTTTGCTAAAAGTTGTTGTTAAGCGAATCAGTGATTAAGTGACCATTTCACATGGTTGTTAAGTAAATTTAACTCCCATTGACTTTGCTTGTGGGAAGTTTACAAATGATGATTACATGACCCCGGGACAATGTACCTGTCATAAATATATGCCAGCTGCCAAGCAACCAAATTTTGATCACAC